TAAATTAAGGGGAAAAAAAGAGAGAAAGAGCGAGCTGATACAGTCATGCATCAATGACTTACAAGAATTCCTCTACTGACTAGGTAGAATTATCCAGCCTGGAGTCCGGTGCTGGAGAAGGATCCCCTGGAGCTGGAGTTACGGACAGTTCTTAGCTGTCATGTGGGTGCTGGGATTTGAAGCTGGGTCTTCTGCAAGAACAGTCAGTGTTCTTAACCACTGAGCCATCTCTCCAGCTCCTAGAGTGCATTTTTTGTATTATATCACTAAGTGAAAAAAGGTCAGACAGAATGTGAGGGAGTGAGCCACTCTTGGGAAGTCAGGAAGGGCTTCCTTAAAGTAACTACTGAGCAGTGTTTTAGAGGATGAGCAGGAGTTTGTGACAACAGTTTCTCTTTGCTCTGTGAGGATCTAGCTCAGCTCTCCCTTAGCCCTAGCATCTGTGCAGGACAGCACAATCCCAGGACTCAGAGAAGAGCCCTCTTCACACCCAGTGTTAGCTGGGACACTGAGGCCGGGCTCTCAGGCATCTCTTGGTCCCCAGGGCCGCGGAACCAAACATTACGGCCTGATTGTGGTGGGCCACTCCCTGGGCGCTGGCACAGCCGCTATTCTCTCCTTCCTCCTGCGCCCTCAGTACCCGACCCTCAAGTGCTTCGCCTACTCACCCCCAGGGGGCCTGCTGAGGTAAGCAGCTCGGGGCCTCTGAGTTGGCTGGGGCAGCTGAGACCCTTGAGGGTCAGGGGCTGGCTGGGGCTAGACAAACGTGGTGGCCCAGTACGAGGATTATAATGGTAGGATGAGGGCTGCATAAAATACCAAGTGGATCCCCCTTAAGCCCTGTGGTAAGACATGGGCAGGAAGGACAGAGATGGAAGACCAGCCTGACTCCATGGGCTCCCTGGAAGGCCTTGAGACCAGAAGTCAACTCTGGGAATGTGGAGTAGAGCTGCTCCTGCCAAGTCTCTGCTCTGGGCCTGAGCCCCCTCCTTGGTTTCTGTTGCAGTGAGGATGCCATGGAATACTCCAAGGAGTTTGTGACTGCTGTGGTTCTGGGCAAAGACCTCGTGCCCAGGTAAGCCCCTCTCTCTTTCTTGCTGTGGTCCCTTGTTAGGGCCTCACCCTGCTCCCTAGCTGTACATCTCTCATTCATCCATACCACCATCTTCCTAAGGACTCTAGTCCCCTCCCCATCCTTGGTGGTCCTGTAGCGAGAAGAAAGATACAGCACCCTTCTGGGTGGCTGCTCCTCTCCTCTGCTCTGCTGACCTGCAGGCTCTCCTCTGCATCATGACCCATATGGACTTGTCTTCTTGTTCCTGGGGACAGGTGCCCCTACTTCCCCATATGCTGCCCCTCTCCCAGTTCATAACCAGGTCTGGCTGATGCCATCTTGTCCCCTTCTGTAGGATTGGTCTTTCTCAGCTGGAGGGTTTCCGCCGGCAGCTCCTGGATGTCCTGCAGCGAAGTACCAAGCCCAAAGTGAGCACCCATCAGCTCCCTGACCATCAGGAAGCCCTGGCTATCCCTACCTTTGTTCCCTACCAATCCCAGGGGCAAGTCACAAGAGGCCAAGCAGTGTCTTGGAAGCTTCAGGCTATCAGACACATGATATCCAAGCTCAGATTATCTAACCCTGTCATTGTGGGGAGACCCAGGCCCAGTGTGGGAGGAACTTTGTTTATACAGCAAGTTGTTAAGGCATCAGAACTGGAACCAAGGTACTCCTGCCAGTGGAGCTGCCTGAAGTCAGAGAGAGCGATCCGTAAGACTCGGTGTCTGGTTCTGGGAAGCACAAGCTCCTCCTGCCAGGGCCAGGCCTGGGCATTCATCAGATCCAGAAGCAGGTAGCTGGGACCCAAAGATGGCCAGGCCTGACAGATCTGATTGGGTCAAACTGAGGCCTATCTGGCCTCTGACTTGCACAGTGAGCAAGTCCCTTCCCTCACTGGGTGTGTCTCCTATCCACTAGATGAGGGATTGGCTGGTTTTCCAGGCCCTTGCCAGCCCTGAAATGCAACAATTCCATGTCATCTGTCCTTGGCATCTTATTGGCCACCTGGCCACAGTACACCTCAGCCACTGCCTCTTCAGGTGGGCACTGACCTTTAATGCTCTGGCCACTGCCCTGCTATCACCAGCCTTCCCCTGTTGGGTCCCTCCTTGCAAGCATCCCTCAGTCCTGCCCACCTAGCCAGTGCTGCTCAGCTCTGTTACCCCCTTCCCTGATCCTATACAGTGGCGGATCATCGTGGGGGCCACCAAGTGCATCCCCAAGTCAGAGCTGCCGGAGGAGGTGGAGGTGACCACCCTGGCCAGCACACGGCTCTGGACCCACCCCAGTGATCTGACCATTGCCCTTTCGGCCAGCACCCCGCTCTACCCACCGGGCCGCATCATCCATGTGGTTCACAACCACCCTGCAGAGCAGTGCTGGTAAGTGTCGCTCAAAGGCCCTGAGCCACTGCTGTAGGCACAGGATCCAGGGCAGAGGCTGCAGAGAGCTGAGCTAGCCTCTGCTCAGGTACCACGTAGGAGTAGGGCAGAGACTGGGAGACAATGGCCCAGGACCCCACAGGCAGGTTCCCCTAGCTGCAAAGCATGGAAAGGGAGAAAAAGGCCAGCCTCCAGGCCCCTCCTTGACAGTCCCAGTCTTTGCCCCTGTGTCAGCCCTTCCCTGGTGTCCCCTGGGGCAGATCTCCCTGTTGGTGCATTTAGGAGTCAATGTTCCCTAGGAGCCACCTTCAGGCTCTAGGCTAGCTCACACCTTGGTGTTCACTGAGTTAACTGGCAGATGCTTGTGGGCAAAAAATGGGGCCAGGGTAGGGGCAAGAACAGAGTGGGATGGTAGGCCCCCACTTCACACTCTCAGAGCCTTGAGTGAGTCCTAGCCCTTTTTTCCCAACAGAGGCTGCTTCCCCTGACAAAAAGCTGGGAAGCTGGACCCTGCCCAACAAGTGTAGCCTAGGCCAAAAGCAAGTGGGAGGTCTTGGAGGGAATGCAGCTGAGGCTCCAGGTCAGCCATTCACAGGCTGTAGGTAAAGAAGCCAGGCCTGGGGACACATTGGACAGGGGCTTCCCAATCCAGCCCCAGCTCTCTAAGCAAGTGCACAGAGCAGAGCTACCCTGACCCCTCCCTTCTTTACCTCCGGGTCCTGCTCAGCTGCTGTGAACAGGAGGAGCCCACCTACTTTGCCATCTGGGGTGACAACAAAGCCTTCAATGAGGTGATCATTTCACCGGCCATGCTCCATGAGCACCTGCCCTACGTGGTCATGGAGGGGCTCAACAAGGTGAGTGCAGGCAGGGCCCATGGGTGCCCTACAGATTGAGTCCCTGTACCCTTTCCCCAGGACAAGGGGCTGAAGATCAGAGATGCTACACAGCCCAGCCACGGTCCACAGCTGGGCTCTGGGGACCAGAAAACCCCCCTCACATCTTTTGACTCCATACCCCTGGCTTCTTCCACACATGTTGCCACCATGGTGGGGAAGAGGAAGTTTAGAAGATTCCTGGGGGCCTGTCCCTGCAGCAGGCTGAGCTGAGAGGCCCTGAAAGCTAGCTGTTACCAGATATGTCGGCAAGCTGGGACAGTCTCTGCCTTCTCTGGCCACTGAAGGGCTGAACACAGGGGGAGCACTCCAACCTCTACTCTGGGGGCAGGCATCCTGTAGCAAGTCCTGGGACTTCCTTCAGGAGGAAAGGGGCCCCACTGAACCATCATGCTGTTTGTTCTGGAAGGTCTCAGGGCTAGCCTGGCTACTCCTCCACTGCCAGCACCCCATCCTGTCCCTAGGTGCTGGAGAACTACAACAAGGGGAAGACGGCACTGCTCTCTGCTGCGAAGGTCATGGTAAGCCCCACCGAGGTGGATCTGACTCCGGAGCTCATCTTCCAGCAGCAGCCTCTGCCCACGGGGCCGCCCCTGCCCACTGGCCTGGCCCTGGAGCTGCCTGCTGCAGACCACCGCAACAGCAGTGTCAGGTGAGTCCTGCCTCCCCCACCCCATCTTAGGGGCATGTGGTCTCGGAGTCTGCACAGTTGTGTGTGTTCATATTCATGCATCCTCTGGGCCTGCTGGGCCCATGCATATCCCCAAAGCTCTGCATACATGTGGAGAGAGGGTTGAACTTGCCCCTCTGCTGAGGATCTCACCCGTTCTGCTGCAGCTGTCTCTCCGCCTGCCATTGCTGAAGGAGGCTGTGTCTCAGGCATTTCCCAGGTTGGGTAGGGTCTTCAAGGCACATACAGAGCTACAAACACCAGACCCAAACACCAATTCACTCATTCCCACTTGGATCCAAACAGATGTACACCCATGTACTCACACAGACACACAGATGTACCTATACATTGGAGCTTATGACAAGCATTAACTCATAAGTGCACAGATTGCTCCATCCAGTCGAACACAGCTACAGGACATACACAAGGGCATTAGACCACACATAGCCAAGGGCATACTTGGACAGGACATGTAAATGCATGGATGTACCCATGCAGACCCACAGCACATGGGTGCATGCAGTCCAGCTGCACATAGGCACCAAGATACGCATACCTACTCCAAGAAGTGTACACTCATCGTCACAGGTTCTAGAAAAGTGGTACTCCAGGAAAAGGCTGTCTTGCCTTTCTGGGACCCCTACCTCCAGGCCCTGCGTCCCTGCTCATAGATCTGGCCTCTGAGAAGTGGGGATGGTGTCATTGTTTCCTGGCCCTTGGTAGGGACCTCTAGCCAGCTCTCCCCATCATCTGTGTGTTTCCTGTGGTGGCTGCATGACTCCTTAGGGAACCCAGTGTCTGTTCTTGGTCCCTGTATCCACTGAGGCCACCTGTTTCCCAGTCCTTCCAGCCTTCCCTCTCCCCTTTTCTCCTGTTCTCCTCCTTCCCTTCCTCTCAATAGAGCAAGGGGCCCCAAGCTTAAGGCCGTATCATAGCAGATGTGGACAAACCCCAGTATGAGGAAGGAAGTGATAGGAGAGGCATGGGAGGGTGCTAGCTCTGAGAGTTAGGGGAGCAGGAACCCTCCCTTCACTTCCTCCATGCTCCCTCCTCCCCATGCCCGAATCCCTCTGTGCTTCCCTATGTTTCTCCCATTCCATAGTGGCTTCATGAATGTCCCAGAACCAATCTCTTGAAGCCTAAATCTCCCATCAGTACAGTGATGGGTATGGATGCATAGGACCCTATCAGTTTCCAGGAACCATAATGCTCTTAGTGGGATTTTAGTCCTTTGAGGCTCCCACCCTGTCCACCCAGTGTCTACCTTTTGTCTTATATCTTAGCTTCTTATGAGTTGGTTTTTAATTTTATTTATTTAATTATATTTTTATTTATGTATGTGCATGCATGTGTCTAAGTGGGTGGATGTGCACGTGTGTGTGCAGGTACCCACTGAGACCAGAAGAGGGCATGAGATCCCTTGGTGTTAGAGCTACTAGCATTTGTAAGCCACTTGACTTGGTGCTGGGATGTGAACTCCCACCCTTGAGACTGATCAGGAAGCACTCTTAACCACTGAGCCCTACAAGTTGCTACATAAAAATCAGGATCTCCATGGGCGTGGTAGCACATGCCTTTAATCCCAGCACTTGGGAGGCAGAGGCAGGTGGATCTCTGAGAGTTTAAGGTCAGCCTGGCCTACATAGTGAGGTCCAGGTCATCTGGGGCTACAGGGACATCCTGTCTCAAAACAAAAACAAAAACAAACACAAACACAAACACACAAAAAACATGATCTCCTGTCCCAAACCATTCAACAAAAGCTGAATTAACTGTCCTCCCCTCCCTTTCTCCCTGGCTCTGCTCTTTCTCTGCAGGAGCAAGTCTCAGTCTGAGATGAGCCTGGAGGGCTTCTCCGAAGGGCGGCTGCTGTCCCCAGTGGCCGCAGCATCGGCAGCCCGCCAAGACCCTGTAGAGCTGCTGCTGCTGTCCACCCAGGAGCGGCTGGCAGCAGAGCTGCAGGCCCGGCGGGCACCATTGGCCACTATGGAGAGCCTCTCAGACACAGAGTCACTGTACAGCTTCGACTCCCGCCGCTCCTCGGGCTTCCGCAGCATCCGAGGCTCACCCAGTCTCCACGCTGTACTAGAGAGAGATGAGGGTCACCTCTTTTACATTGACCCTGCCATCCCCGAGGAGAACCCATCCCTCAGCTCCCGAACAGAGCTGCTGGCAGCAGACAGCCTGTCCAAACACTCACAGGACACGCAGCCCCTGGAGGCGGCTCTGGGCAGCGGGGGTGTCACTCCTGAGCGGCCACCAAGTGCAGTCAATGAGGAGGAGGAGGCAGCAGCGGGTGGAGAAGGTGGTGGAGCGGCACCGCGAGGAGAGCTGGCGCTGCACAACGGGCGTCTGGGGGACTCGCCCAGCCCTCAGGTACTGGAGTTCGCTGAGTTCATCGACAGCCTCTTCAACCTCGACAGCAAGAGCAGTTCCTTTCAGGACCTCTACTGCATGGTGGTGCCCGAGAGCCCCACTAGCGACTATACTGAGGGCCCCAAGTCTCCCAGCCAGCAGGAGATTCTGCTTCGGGCCCAGTTTGAGCCCAATCTGGTGCCCAAGCCCCCTCGCCTCTTTGCAGGCTCTGCTGACCCCTCCTCTGGCATCTCGCTCTCACCCTCCTTCCCACTCAGCTCCTCCGGGGAGCTCATGGACCTGACGCCCACTGGCCTCAGCAGCCAGGAGTGCTTGGCTGCAGATAAGATCCGGACTTCCACCCCCACAGGCCATGGGGCCAGCCCTACTAAGCAGGATGACCTGGTCATCTCAGCACGCTAGCACCTGGCAGCAGCTGCCAGCCCCTCCCCAGCCAGAAATGGAGGCCCTGTGGGTACCTGGTGGCCACTCCAGGCTGGGTAGCTTTGAGGAGAGGCTCCCAGAGGCCAGGTGGCCTCAGGCCCTGGGACTCTGCTGCTGAGCAGGGGGTCTGCATCCCTACCTCAGCCTAGGACCCCCAGAACCAAGATGGCTGGGGAAAACAGGTGGGCTTGGAGCAGAGAGGAGCCTTCAGGGTAGATGGGCCATCCTCAGCCCTTAGCCTGACTCCTCTGTCGGGGGCAGGCTGGTGCCTCTGTTCTGGAAGTGGCACTAGGCAAGCTGGCTCCTGTCACTGCCCTCTGACTGCTCTCCAGGGCCAAGGTAGAAAGCAGCTCTCTCCCACATATCCTCTATGTGGTTCAGGTTGGCACCTGCCCTGGCCACCAATCCCCCAGATCTGGTGCCTGCTGGCCAGCCCCCCTGGGGTGACTCCCCCCAACCAAGGTGGCCCACAGTGCTGTATATGTTTACAGAATCTGCTGGGTTTGGCTCAGGATGTATCTTGCGTTCCCAAGCCCCACACCCAATCATGTGTTCAGTAGCCTCCCACTCCCCTCCCACCCCACGCAAAAGAAGGACCTGAAGCAGCAGAGGGGCCCAGAGGGGCCTGGAGGAGGGTGGGGTCAGGACTGCCCCTTCTCTGCCTGGTGCCCCTTCAGTGACCATCATCTGCTTGGGTCCTGCCCACTGGGGCTTGCCTTGCCAACCTGCCACTTCCTGACTTCCTGGCTCACCTTCTACCCCAGGGACCCTGGCCATTCAAAGGGTGGTGGACAATCCTATGATGTCACCTTTGGCTGTAGAGTCAGGGCCCTAGGAGGGAAGAAGGCACCTGGAGCCCCTGTCTCCTAAGGGTCCTGCCTGACCCCTTTATGTCACCCCACCAAGCCTAGGCAGCTCTGGGCCCTGGGGTCTGAAACCAAACATGCCTCTGCCCATTTGCTCTCTTGGCTGCCTCACTCCTTCCTAGGTCTGGGCTCCACCTCCTCCTATGTCTGCCCTATAGGAAGAGGGGCTAAGAGTAGGGTATTGCGGGATCTGTCTGGAGATCCCCTGCCCACTGCCCAGAGGAGGGGCCTAGGGCCCAGGGGTTGTCCCAGGTTAACCTGAGGCCTCCATAGGATTCCCTATGGGTTTGAGAAGTAGTCCAGGAGATGGGACTGGGGTGGGGGAGGTCATGCATGCTAGTGTCAGGTGTGTGTGTGCATGTGCATGAATGTGCACCACTCCTGAGGAAAGGGGCTGCTGGGGGCTGCATGCCCTCCCTGCCCTGCCTGCCTCCTGCCCCTCCTAGCCTGCCAAGAATATAGCCTGTGAAGTGGGGCCTCTGGACAAGACAGTCACTGAGGTGTGCAGGCGAGCAACTGCCCGCTTGTGCCTTCGTCTCCTTGGAGGCATGGTCCCTCCCACCCTGGCCCCACTCTCAGCCTCCCTGGGCCACCTAGGCTTCCCTGACCACGTTGCCCCATCTAATGATCATTGGTATCTGGCCCTGAGCCTTGACCCTAACTCCGCATAGCTGAGGTGGCCTGGATGGCTGTCCACTCTGACAGCTAGAGACAGAGACCTGGGAGCTGGGCCTCCCCTCACTCTGACTTCTATCCCTACCAGAATCCTGGCCACCCTGCCCCCTTCAGAGGCAGTGCCTGAGCCTAGCACAGAAGCAAGATAAAAATCAGTGGCTCTTAGAATTCAAAACATTAAACAAAAATCTTAAATCAGAGGGAAGTTCCAACAAACACTCCAGCCAGCAACAGGGAGACTTGGGTCTGGTCTTTTAACTCTTCCTCTGCCAGGGTGGGTCTGGGAAGGGGCCTCTAGGGTGTGCCTCCTATGCCCAGGACTGAGCCATCAGGGACAGACCCCCCCACCCCCAAGGCTGCAGCCTTACTGTGTTACAGGCTTGGAGCTGGGGTAGAATTGGACTCAGCCCTAGACACCCAGGGCCAGCCCACCCCTCTCCTGCCCCCTCCCTGCTCAACCCTGAAGGGTGGGCTTGCTGCACGTCTCCTTCCACCCCATGCCACATCTAGGGGGATCTGAGCCACCCCCCTCAGCCCAGCTCAGATCTACCCCACACTGTCCCCCAGACCCCAGCACAAGCTCTCCCAGCCCTGCGCTGGCCTTTCCTCCCAGGGATCTTGGTGACCTCCATATGCAATGAGCAGCCGGGCCCCCACAAACCCTCTGCACTCCATGTGCCATTCTCCCATGAAATTTTTTTGTACTTTATGAAAGATCCACACTAATATTGCTGTAAAAAGGAGAGACAAGTTAATATAGCTTATTCTATAAATATATCTGTATATAAAGGTTTCTGTATATTGTATAGAACTGTGTATAAACTGGATGTAGAAGCACACCACTGCCTCAGGTGATCTTTTCATCAGATGGGGATGGAGGCAAGATGGGGACCCACTGTCAAGATCATAGCAGGGTGAGGTAGCAGGACCTCAGGCCATTCCCTAGACAAACCAGAAAGCATATGGAGAAATTTGAGGTTCACCACCTCTCCACACAAAACACAGGGCATAGTGGGTGGCTTAAGGAACAGCCCAGTGGGATAGAACTGTGTGGCTGGGTTTTGTTAAACTGTGGGTGCTAGGCTGGTAAAATGGCACTTGTCACCAAGCTTGATGATCTGAGTTTGATCCCTAGAGACCACATGGTAGGAGAGAACTGACTCCTGAAAAATTGTCCTCTGACCTTCACACATATGTACACACACACACTCTATGGCACATGAAAACCCCCTCTCCAAAAATAAATGTAATTAAAAAATCATAACTGAAAAGTGAAATAAGGGCTGGAGAGATGGCTCAGTGGTCAAGAGCACTGGCTGCTCTTACAGAGGACCTGGGTTTAGTTCCCAGCACCCACATGGCAACTAATAACGGTCCATGACTCCAGCCAGATCCAGGGGATCTGATGCCTTCTTCTGGCCTCTGCAGCATTGCACACATGTTGTGCACTTACATACATTTAAGTAAATTACTCATGCACATAAAATAAAAATAAATACAAATTTTTAAAAAGTAAAATGCAGGTGTGTTTTTCTAGGTCAAGGAGGGTCTTGCATTTCTCTCCAGCTTCTGGCCCTGCAGTGTCCAGGCCCACGATGACACTAGTTACAGAAAGCCACAAGTACCCTCAAAGACCCAAGTGTGTGAGAGCAGCCACTTGTTGAGTCCACGTGAAATGTACTGGAGGGGTTGGTGTCTATCACATTTTGGCCTTGAAGCTGGGAAGCCCCTAGTCCCTCCCTGAGTGTTCTGAGACTTAGGGTAGGTAAGCTACTTGCCTGAGATACAGAAGTAACAATTGGGATACCAGGCTGGTTTGATCATGCCCACCATTCTGCTACCCCACACCCCCACCCATGCCAAGAACTAGGGCAGAAATGAGGCTCTTAGAGGGGTAGCTGAAGTATAGAAGCCACTAAGAAATTTTGTTGAGGGCTTCTCTAAGGGAATGTAAACACCTGGCCAGGCCCAGGGACCCCTGCTCAGCCTGGCTCCAGAGCAGTGAGGCTGGGGAGTGGCAAGAGAGCCTAGGGTGGGTAGATAGCTGAACATCTTGTGAGCCTCGGGCCCTGAGCTCCTTCTGCACAGCAGGGGGCACTGTTTCTCCAGCTACACCCACTGTGGCCTGCAGAGCCTGGTGTGGGGTCCTGGCTGAGTCAAACATTGACTTCTCCTTCCCAACTCAGCCTGACCCACAACTTCATTGTGACCCCACTTGATAAGGTGCTGGGGCTCTTGGCCTTAAAGCTTATCTTCCCCCACAAACTGAACAGAAGAGGAAACAGGCCTGTTTCAGGTCACACAGGACGTACGGATGGATGTAGAGCCCAAATCCAGAGGTTTGTCCGCCTAGCCTAGGACTCTGGCCTCCACTCTCACCTAGCAGTCTCCTCTCCCATAGGTGATCTCACTGGTCTGCAAGTGATCTTCACCCTAGTGTGGCAGAAGCCGAGCAAATAGCTAGAGAGTTTCTGTGACTTGCTCAGGGTCACACAGCATAAAGCAACCATCTCCATGGATGGCAATCCTCAAAGTCCTGGTACAAAGGCCTCGTTAGGCTCCTTTACCAGTCCTGACACTGCCCTGCTATGGAGCAGGTCCACCTGTGCTTGGACCGACCTAGTGAAATCAGGGAAAACTGTACCGCCCAAGTTCCCCAAGCAGGCCAGCTCCCATGGTATTAACAGGGCCTGTATTCTGCCTGCTCTAACTTCAGGCCTATACCAAAGTTGGAAGAGACCATCGTCCTGATAATGTGGTGGGTCTCTCCTGCCTCCTAACCCTTGGTGACCTGGACAAGGTCAACGCTGAAGTCTTCAGCTATCCCTCTGTGCAATGTGTGGATGTGGAGGGAAGATCTTTGGGTAGGTGGAGTCTCAAAGGGAGGCTCTTTTTGTGGTAGCCCCAGGCAACCTAATAAATAAATTCATCTTTGAAAGTTGCATGCAGTGACCAGGTGTCGACTTTGTCCATAGGCAGGCCTGACTGTGGGTGGATTAAGGGCCAGAATGCAGAATAACAATTGTCTTAGGGAGTCTGCAGAGAGGACAAACTTCTGGGTGCAAAGGCTGGAAAAGAATGGGCTGCTCAGTGTGGCCCCCTCCCCCCTTGGCGCAGCCCCTGCTGGGAAGGGGGAGCTGCAGTCAGTGCCCACAGCTGGGCCTCCAGCAAAATCCTACTTTATATACCTAAGAGCGACAGCTCTGAGAATGGCCCCCAGAGGGACAAAACCTCATTGTGAGGCACCGGCCAGCCCGGGCATTCCCTCCCCCAAGCCCTCCTCAGCGGGCTACCACAAGCCTGCTGACTGGGCCACATCTGGAGTGCAGGCACTGGCTGCCCTTCCCCCACTCTGGCCACTGAGGAGGAGGGAGGTGGGGGTGGGGGTTGGGAGGTGTCAGAGAGCTCATGGGGTCTCTTTTGGCTTTCTGCAAAGTTGAGCTGTGCCTCACCTGAGTCTGGGGGCCACTGCCAAAGAGAACCAAATGTTCTAGGCTGGCCAGGTTACCATCTTGATTTGATGGCAAGTTTTCCCACCCTTCTGGGCCATTGTTGCTGGTATTGGTGGTGGTACTGGTGGTGTGTGTGTGTATATGTTTTGTTTATTTGAGGCACGTTCTTACTGTGTAACCAACACTGATGTTCCATTTGAATCCTCCTGCCTCAGCCTCCAAGTGCTTTGATGACAGGTGTGCACCCCCAAACACAATGTTGTGTTTGCCAAACAGTGGTGTGGTGGGGTAGGTCTTTGCAGTTCTGACTTGCTCTGTCCAAGGGTCCTCTGAGGCTGTGCACTGAGCCACTCTGTAGTAGGGTGATTTGAGCAGTTTTGGATTCCAGAATTCTCTGCCTCTGAGCCTTCAGAGGTCTCAGAATCTGAAGTTTGCGGTTGCCATTATCCATTCATTCAACTAATATTTATTGAATACCTACTGTGTGCCAGGTGGTGTTTTCTTGGTGATGGAACTATAGCAGTGACTCCCATTCTGGAGCAGAATAAATAGGAACTAAGTTAAAAGCTTCATTTTTATGGAAGTGAGAATTGCCTAGGTGATGGGAATGGTTTTTGGTGGGACGTTGATGTGTGCAATGAGATCTGGTGGCCAAGAAGAAGAACCAGCCATGTGGGGAGAAGCATCATAGACAGATGGACTGGCATGTGTTATGGCCCTGGGACAGGTGTGGCCATGGCGAGTTTGGGTGGTGGCAGAAGGCCTTGGTGGTAATGACTGAGTGAGTGTGGAGAAAAGGGAGCATGGAGGTGAAGTCATTGTTTCAAGTGGAGATTGAACATTTCTATTGCTGGACAACCAGGGCAGGAGGTTTAGACGGTCCATTGCAAAGGGAAACCAGTGGTTTTAGCAAAGGCAGGGTGCAATCTGATTTCTGTTTTGTGAAGAGTCATTTGGGAGGACTGTAAGGATCTTGTAGGAGAGAGTCTGCAGTGGGGCAAGGTGGAGGTGAGGAAAGGCAGGAGACAGGGACTGTGGCCTCATCCCTACAGGCTTGGAGGTAAAACCTCCAGGTCCCACTTCACCAGGCAGAGCAGTGGGGAAAGAGAGTGTGACTCCTGGGGGAGTCAGGATTAGTCCTACTGACCTTGAACTCTTCCACCAGCAAGGTCCAGTACCACAGTCTACACGTGGTTATTTAAACTAATTAAAAGCAAAGCAAATAAAAAAGTCAGGTACTCAGTCTGTCACAGCTGTAGCTAATGACAACACCAAGAATATTTCCATCAATCCAGAAAGTTCTCCATAGCGGTACTTCCCCAGACATGAGCTAACCTCATGAAGCTTCAGTTTCCTCATCTGCAAATGCAGATAATAATAGTCCTGCCTTAGTAGTGGCCTGGCGGGTAACACCTGTGCAGGTCTAGCGCCTTACCAGCGTTTTTTTGATGCACGCAGGTTGCTATGGCTGAGATGGGGTGGGTAATAGGAAGAATGGGGAGATGTGGATCTAAAAATCTGACTCATAACCTGGAATCTCACCCTCCCCAAGGAAAGAGGGGGAAGCCGCTGATCCTTACATCAGCCCCCTGGGACTCTCTTCCCACAGCAAGGGGAGGTCCTCGCACCCGGAAGCACCCCCCATCCCCCCCGCCTGACAAGCGCCGCCTGCAGGCGACGCGGAGCCCTGCGGCTCGGGGCTGCCGGCAGAGGGCGCTGCGGATGGGTCGGGCGGGGCGCCGGGCGCGGGGTGGGCGGAGGCGGGG